TTCGTATTCGCATTTGTTTTTCCTGACTCGTTTGGCCTCCGATAGTTCGGCCTTACATTTGACCAGTTTTTGTTGACAATCTTCGATGGATTTGTCAATCTTGCGGTACAAATCTTCGTAGTTTTCCATTTCCCTGGATATCATACGTAGGGTTTGTTCCGATTTGGTCATCGATAGCTCGCACTGACTCAGTGTCGACAGTATGCGCTCGTAGTTGAGGACTCTGTTAGCCGCCGCCGGGTGTGAACATCGGGTCAGTACATCATCAGGACATTCAACATATAATAACACTGTGTATTATAATACTACGGATATACCTGTCCTCCAGTGTTTCGTCGTCGGTTAGACACCATTTGATGAACTGTTTGAGGACAACATTCAGACGCCGATCGTCGCCAACGCCGTCGCCGTCCAGTAATAGCTTTCGGCGCATCACTTCATCTAATAGTGATATCACAACAACCAGACAATCAGTTAATATACAATCAATCAAATTTTGACAACAATTTGTCGGGTAGTTAGTGATGATGATCACTGTCGCCGCTGCCGACAAATTGGTGGTCAAAACTAAACATATCATACAAACCGTCGTTTAGTTGAATCAATTTGCTCTTATCGGCCGACATTGTCAATGATATCAGTCTTGAGGATCAGTCAGCTGATGATGAAAATGTCTTCAGATGGCAATTATTATAACTAATAATTAATAGTCTAATAATAAATAAAAACAATTTACAAAAAAATGTTTAGTTATTTGCAATGCTATTGAAAATCAAATAAAACAATTCAATAATTGAAAAAAAATATTTATTATATGTTTTGTTTGTATTTATTTGTATTGAATTCAATGCTTGCTATTGTGTGTGTGTGTGTGTACTGTATGTATGTGTGTGTGTGTGTGTGTGTGTATGTGTATGTATGTATGTGTGTGTACTGTATGTATGTATGTATGTATGTATGTGTGTGTGTGTGTGTGTGTGTGTGTGTGTGTGTGTGTGTGTGTGTGTGTGTGTGTGTGTGTGTGTGTGTGTGTGTGTGTGTGTGTGTGTGTGTGTGTGTGTGTGTTTGTGTACTGTATATGCCATCTATGATTAGTCAATGATTTATAATGTAATCGTAATTGTTATACAAATTTTTGTATTATATTATAGAGATTGTAATAAAAGTTTTTTTTTATTTTTCAATTACTAAATAATAAATTATAATTTGTTTGGTTTTGATATGCATTTACGTACAGTAGATATTAGGTGAACAAATACTGGTATAATAAATAAACATTTTAATTGTTTTTATTATTATTATTATTGATGTCTTATTTATAGATTTTATATCAATATTATACTGTATATACAAGTATATTAAGTTTTTTTTATTTAAATTAATTTTTTTTCTCTATTCTATTTTAATAATTACGGTAATAGTTTTTTTTATCAGAAATAAAAGTATAATAAAATAAACTATAATAAGTTCAATAACTTTTTAATTGACATTTACAATTAACAATGCCATCAATTATTTTAGAAATTATATTTAAGCTTATTTTTTCATATACGATATCATTTACTACATTATCAAATAAATATATACATAATTTTTTTATTAATAAAAGTTAATTAATTAGACAAAAATTGGTATTAAATTTATCAATACATGTAATAAAACTAATTTATTTTAAAGTTATTTTAAGATTTTATTTATGAAATAAAAAAATATTTTTATGATCTATGATATCCATTGATGTTAACAATAGTCAATCATATATTCAAAAAGTTAGTAATGTATTCAAACAAATTAAAATCATTGATAATAGCAATGATTGGTTTGGTGTCAGTGAACTGCCGATTGCCGTAACATTCGTGACATCGACCCGTGTGTATGTTTGAACAATCGGTTGGTGCCAAACAAAATCAGTATCAATTGTGTGGGCGACAGTATCGACGACTATAACATTGACACTATACTGGATCAGCTGAATCAACAGCTGCTGACAAATCCCGAACTAATATTGGATTCATTTCGGTTGACCAAAACATCTGTAACAGTCATCGATGACAACTATTTCGGTGTATTGCCGTTTGTCGACATCGAAATCACTGACAATCCGTATCTACGATTTGACAACTTTACCGATTCGTCGCTGTTGGCCGCGGCGTCGTCTACACTGAAGATGTTCTACGCGGCCAGCAATGACCTGATAGCCGACGGCGTCGACGGTAGCGAACTATTGAAAGTGTTCAACTCGTTTGCTAGTCTCGAGTCGCTGACACTCAAAGATATCGGTATCGATCGGATCGCACGCAATACGTTTGACAATCAGCTACAGGTGCGACTCCGGTTCATTGACCTATCAGACAATCGGATCAGTCATATCGATGAGTACGCCTTCTTCGAGCTACGGAATCTACGGTCACTGAAACTCGATAACAACAGTCTGGTAACACTTGCAGCCAACTCACTGGCTATACGATTGCCATCGCCGGTACCGATGTTGTTGTCGCTCAATGCAAATCGTTTATCAGCCGCACAGTTGTCGCCGATAGTGTTTGACAATCTTCAGCGACCATTGATTTTATTAATCAAATCCAATCAATTGGATTACTTTCCCGAATCGGTTTTCCGTCAATTCATCGAATCCGATGACAACTATTTTGTGGACGTCGGCGACAATCTGTTTGTATGCGATTGTCAACGACATCGTTGGCTATTTCTAATGAAACCTCATCTCAGGTCAAAGGTTATCAATATGTACTGTAATTCTGCGTACAGTATATGGCATTATGAAGATGTGGCCGAAACTAATTGCTTTTGAATTAATTGACGAAATATACCGATAATTATTATATTGAATTAAACAAAAACTTTTAATTACATTAATATATTTTTTTTAATAATTAGTTATAATAAATACTTTTGTGTATAAAAAAACATTTGTAAATGTATACAAAAAATATGAATGAAAAATATAATTCATCCAATAAAATTATATATAAAAATATATATATATATATAATATAATAGAAAGTAAAATAAAATTTTTTCATTAAAAATATAACAAACAAAAATAATATATGAAATATTTAAAAAATAATAATTAGTATTAAAATGTATTGTATTTTTGTAGTTAAATATTAGACATTTATATTTGTAGTAAATTAAAGTAAACCAATAACGGCCATCAATAACAATACGTTGAATACGTGTCGGGCACCGGCATTAACTACATTGGATTCGTGTTGTTGGACACCTGTACTACTAGTAGTACTAGTACTAGTAGTATTAGTAGTACTAGTAGTACTATAGCTATAGCAGGGAAGATATTTCTTACAGTCATCGGTGGTCACCTCTGGAGGATTCAATGCCTTACAGTTGGTCTCATCCGGTTTGAAGCCATGATTGTCTGAACAGTTTTTCATTTTTTTGTCAAATACATCACTATTGGGTTTAGAGTTTAGACAGTTGTCGGGCTAAAAAAAAACAACAACATATCATATATACCGGTATATCATATATATATATATATATACAGTATATGTGGTATAACTGTGTGTTTGACAGGTAATATAGACAACCAACCAGTATTTATGAGTTACACACACACTTACCAATTGATTTAACAGACAATAGCCTTCCAGTTGACCGCAACATTGGAATTCCGGTCCATCTTTACTCTTCCATCTGATTCCGACACAGTTTTTCAAAGCTTCCAAATCAACGGTACAGTCAGTCGATCGGCGAAACAGTTGACGCCGATAGGTCTGGTTTTGGTCGCCGTCACCACCACCACCACCACTGACATGAGTTACCACAGCCGTCACCGCCATCGCCGCCGCTGTTGATGACGACAACACAGACACAGATACCGTCGATTGTATCAAACAATTAGTGGACAACAACAGCATGAACAGCATCTGAACTGGTAATTGATTGCAAAACATTTAATTGCAAACAATTGTTGTTGTCTTTTAGCTAAACACAAAAAATATTTAAAACTAATGGTCAATGTCTTTGTCGGTGATGTGCAGTCAGTCGTAGACAAGCAATGGATTTATAAATAGCAGTTGAAATTGAATGTCAAGTTTGAAAAAAAAACAATTAAAACTTTTGAATTGAATCGATTTTTTTCTCGCTTTTTGTTTGTTTGAATTCAATGTTACAGTTATTTTATAAAAAGCAAGATCTCGTGCAATCATTTTCATTATTTAATCAAATAAATTATTTAATTATTGTTAACTAATATTTTATACTAATAATAATAATTGAAAAATTTATTAATAATTTAGTTTAAATTAATAATTGATTTTTTTAAAAATGTAAATTGATAATTACAAAAAAATAATTTTATAAATAATTTTTGTTGTTTTTTTTTATATTTTCATAATTAGTTTTTGAAAACTAATAGTAATTATTACTTTCTAATCAATAGTTTGTTTGTTACTATTACTATACAGTATATTGTTATCAGTATTTAAATAAAATATTAACAAAAAAATATTTATAAATTATTCTAAAATAATATTTATTTTCTATTATAATCTATAAATAATATATTAATTTATCATATTTTTTTAAATAAAAAAAATTAGATTTCATTAATTACAAGTTAATGAATTTTTTAAAAATTATTATTGTAATTAAAATAATTGTATTATTTTTAGATAATAAATATATCAATAAATATATTACTAAAATCATATATTATTAATTTTTACATTATTATTGTAATTATTGCAGATGTTTTCTAATACATTAGTTAATACATATAGAAAATATCAGACATTTTTAATATTAATATTTTTTGAATAGAAATTTTTTAAAAAAATAAATATTAATTTTTTATTTAATAGTTAAAATGTTAAGATTTTATTATATACTTTTCTATAAATTGATTACTTGATTTTTCCATAGATAAAATTACAAACAAACAATCAATCAATTAAACAAACGTAAAAAATAAAATAAATAAATTATCAACAAAATTTGTTTACAATTAATTAATTAATAAAAATATATTAAACTAATAATAATTATTATCAGTTTTGTATGAACTAAAAAACTAAAATATTTAGACTATATTTAGATATATTCAACTAAATAACTTATTTTTTAGATCCATTACCCGATTATGAACCACTAGTAGTAGTTTCATCGGCTCCTGCAGTAGTTTCCACAGCTCCAGTAGTAGTTGCTTCCTCGGCACCTGTAGTAGTAGTTTCTTGGGCTCCTGTAGTCGATTCATCGGCACCAGCAGCAGTAGTTTCCTGGGCTACTACTGCTGTAGTTGTTTCCTCAGCGCCTGTAGTTGACGTCTCACCGGCTCCTGTTGTTGTCGTTTCTTCGGCACCTGTAGTTGACTCAGCGGCTCCTGCAGTAGTTGTCGTTTCTTCGGCACCTGTAGTTGACTCAGCGGCTCCTGCAGTAGTTGTCGTTTCTTCGGCACCTGTAGTTGACTCAGCGGCTCCTGCAGTAGTTGTCGTTTCATCGGCTCCTGTAGTTGACTCAGCGGCTCCTGTAGTAGTTGTTTCATCGGCACCTGTAGTTGTTTCTTCTGAACTATAGTTTTATTAAAAAAAACACACAGTAATAAAAAAAATCAATATTCAAAAACAAAAAAAAAAATAAAAGTATAGTATTATTTAGATGGCGAGTAAATTAGTTATTGTTGTCGATGGTTATGGTGTGTTTGGTAGTAGTGATGGTAAATATTAATGATTATTATTATTATTATTATTACCTGGCAGTAGTAGTAGTAGTGGTGGTGGTGGTAGTGGTGGTTGGGATTTCCAATTTGACGGGCATATCAAAACAGGGGAGATAGGGTTTGCATACCTCCTTATTTTGTTCAATAGGTTTCAATTTTTTACAGTTTTCGGCGTTGACTACAAATTTGACAGTTTTTACACAACCGGACAACATTTTTTCCAACTCTGCCTGTTTAGCTATCGGTGTTTTTGGACACACTTTGGCCTAAATTTTTTTTGAAAATAATAATAAAATAATAGCAATTACTATTGCTTAATTTATACTACAACTTTAGTTTTAAACAATTAAAAAATAAATAAAATAAAATGTTTTCCGGGTAACTCTAACACTAATATCATCATAACCTACAAACAAAATAAAAAAATTTGAAAAATAAATTATTATTTGATGATGTATGCACCTGTGTGCACCATTACCCACCCATCCGCACATATATATACACACACACACACACAAACACACACCAGATGCTGTTAATGTTCAATTTTACCCAAGCAGTCCTATAGATACGGGAATAGGGGGGAGGTCGGGGGTGGGCTGCTTACCAATTTTGTGTAACTACAGTGGCTTTCCCATAGTAGACAACATTGTTTTTGGAAAAAATCGTTATCTTTTTTGAAGGCATTCAATATATTGTATGATTCCCATCGATTAGCCATACATACGCCCAGTTCAAAAAAATCACGACTGCAGTCATTTTTTGCCGATTTCGGTGTCGTCGTTGTCAATGATGTCAGTGTCGGTGTTTTTGTTGTCGCTTTTGTTGTTGGTTTTGTTGTCGCTTTGGTTGTTGCAGCCGATAATACCGTAGTGATAGCCACCGACGCCACCACCACTACCGATACGAGCAATAGTAATGACGATATCGACTGAGACATTGTTTTGTTCGTTTGATTTGTATTCAACAGTAATGGATGTCCAAACAGAAAGAGAGAGAGAGAGACAGAGATAGACAGATATACACACAGATTGGCAACTAATTTCACTTATATTTTATTTGCTATTTTTTATATATATATATAAAATGATAGCTTATGTATGTATGAATGATTTTATTTTATTTAATTTATTTTTTTTTAATTTACAAATAAAAATGTCTATTTTAGTAATTAACTAATTAATTTGAATAAGCAGAAAAAATTAATTAATTAATTAAAACTAAACTAAAACTAAACTTTTTTTCCAACATATGTTTTTTTAGTTTATTTAATTTTTATTTTTTTAAATTTTCTTTATTAAATATTGATAATAAGCATATATATATATATATATCAATAGTATAAGTAAAATAATACGTGTTTATATTTATTTTTAAATGGAAATTTTATTTTTAATTAATAATATAGTTTAGTTGTATTATTATTATTAGAGAAAAATTACAAACAAAAAAAATAAACAAATTTTTTTAAAAAAATTACAATTATTTAAATCAATACAATAATACTACTACTAATAGTAATTTGTATAATAAATTTAAAAACAAAATATTTAAAACTATATTTAAATTAAACAACTTATTGAATCCAGGGTAGAATCCATCAATCACCCCCTAACCCCTCCCCTTGATTATTAACTGTAGCAGTAATTGTTTTATTCGGCACCTGTAGTCGTTTCATCGGCACCTGTAGTCGTTTCATCGGCACTAAAGTTAACAAACATAAAAACATATATATATATTGTATAAACACTTGTTGTTGTTGTTGTTGGTGGTGGTGATAGTTGTAGTAGTGATGCTTACCTGGCAGGTGTGGTGATGACCACTTTGATAGCCGTACCAAAGCAGGGCACATACGGTTTGCAATTTTCATTTGTCTGGTCCAATGGTTTTAATTTTTTACAATTTTCAGTATTGACTGTAAATTTGAGTTTATTTCCGCAATCAGTCATCGCTTTTTCCAAATCAGTTTTTTTCTGTACCAAATCTTCGGGACATTTTTTGACCTAATTTTTTAGATATTATCGTTAATATTAATAATAATATATAAATATTTGCAATTTACTACTACTACTACTACTACTAAACACATTTTAATTGTATTTAATTAATAATCAGAGGCTAATCTAAACACATCTAAATCACTAACCCTCCACCTCCTCCTAATACTACTACACCCTAACTATACTATATATATATTAAACAGATAAAAACAGAAATTTTATCACTCCCCTACCCCCCACCCCACCTCATAAAAAATAAACTAAATACTAGTCCATTACTATTGATAGATAGAACCTGTACAATCCTAGACTTTTAGAAATTACTTGTAAATTGTCCCCCATCCCACCCCATTCAGGTGCTGGGCTGGGGTCACCCTATCTATCATGGGGTGGGGTGAGTGGATGGGACGGGCTGGGGAGGACTTACCAATTTTGAGTGGGCACAGTGGCTTTCCCATATAAAACAACACTGTCGCTTAAGATAATCGTTATCTTTTTTGAATAGCAATCCCAGATTCATTGTTTCCCATCGATGTGCTAAACATATGTTGACATCCCATATATCATCCTTACAGGCCCTGTGTTTTGTCGGCTTTGATGTTGTTGTTGTATGCGTTTTTGAATGTGCTTTTCCTTTTGCTGCCACTGACCAAACCATAGTGACGGCTACCGCAGCCACCACTACCCATAATAGCAGTCCAGTGAATACCGATTGCTGTGACATTGTTTTATTGGTTGGTTTTGGTTTGATATACCGGTAATCAACTGTATTGGATGTACTAAACAGACAGACAGACAGACAGATTGGTAACTATTTTCAAATCCGTTTTTGCTGTTTAAATGGATGTATAGCTTATGTAGTTTTTTTTAGTTAATTAATTTTTATTTTAAATATGACGATTTTAGCAGAATTAATTACTTATAAATAATATAAGTAATATTATAGTGCAAAATAGGAAATCAAATTACAATTATTTATTTTCCTATTTACATATGTTTTTTTTAGTTATTTAATTTTTTTTTTGATTCAAATAAATTTTTTTACAGTTAAGTACTGTATTATCAGTAGGGTTCGTACAAATTGCAAATTTAACCAAAAGTTACCTAGTTTTTCCTGCTCCCCGGGAATTCCCATGGAATATATTTCCTAATTTATATATTTATCAATCTACTCTATCATATATTGTATATAATATATAATATATTTTTATTTTAATACACATTTCCATATTAAATAAAAGAAAAAATATATTCAGTATAATTTTTAGATATATATTTTTAAAAAAAATAAGTGGATATCAAATATTTTTTAATAACTATAATAAAAATATAAAAATTGTTGAATAAAAATTAAAATGTCGTTGTTGTTAATGTTTGTCAAGTTAGTATTGCCGATAAAAATATTGAGGAAATTACAAAAAAAAATATTTAAATAAAGTATTTTGTTTATTAGTATTATAATTACATTATTATAATGTTTAATACATTAATATTTAATTGTTATTTTTATTACATATAATAATTTTGCTAGTAATATACAATAATACATTATACTAAAATTATTAATAATAATAAAATTGTTTTTAAAGTTACAATTAATTGTTTTCAATAAATATCAGTATTAAAAAATTAAACTTTTACATACAATAGTTAAAAATCTTTATTTTACATAAATTTATTTATTTATTGGGAAGCAAAATTTTATAATAATTATAATAAATTTTAATAAATAAAAAAATACAATTTTGATGAATGTTTAAAAAAAAAGTTTGTCGACTAGTATTACTGATAAAATACATTTATTTAGAGGAAATTACAATAATATTTTAAAACTTAAATTATAAATTATTGAAATTTTAAAAAAATAAATATATACAATATATATCCATATAATTTATTACATACATGTACTTTATTACAATACAATAAAATTTCATTACATTATTTTCATTACAAATTCATTATTTAATTTACTATTTCTATTATTTATTAATTTTTTTTTTAAAAATTTAATTTTACTTATCATAGATAACAAAATTATTATTATTATTATTAATATAACAAGCAGTAAGTAAATGAAAGTGTATATACAGTAGATATATATATATATGTGTGTGTGTGGGAGGAGGGAGGTATAGGAGGTTTTATATTTATATTACTGTATATTAAAACACGGCACATATGTATGACATTTGTCAATTGTTTGATATATATTGTCGGCCACTTTTGGTCGGACACTAAGACAGTTGGTCTCATTGGTAGTGAAGCCGACTTCTGTACACTTTTTCAAATTTATGTCCAACTCGTCCTTATCTTCATTATAAATATCTGAACATTGTTTGGACTAAAATAAACATTTTTTGTTTGTTTAAATATATTATATCTATATTAATATTGTAATACAATTTTATTTATTTTTTTAGAAAAAAATCTTTAACACTAACCAATAGATTGTGGGCACAGTTAGTCTCCAATAGTGCACAGCACAGGTGTTTGACATAGTCGACAGGATTTTTGGCACCGGCGGTAACATTTTCTAAGTCCCATCGGTGGACAATACAATTGTCAATTGTTAGTATAATGTTTGGACAGTAGTCGTCGACGACGCCGACTGCCGACTGACCAACCAATTGGTGATCATCGGTGGTAGCCATTGATGATACCATCATATATATCGACAACACTAGTATCCTAACCGTTAATACTGTAATCTGCATTATTTTTTTGTGGATGACCTGGTGGTGGTGGTGGCGGTGGCGGTAGCTATGATTGTTGAGTTTATATTAATAAATGTAATCAATTATAGTTTATTTTTTAAACAAATATATTTATTGATTTATTTATTACATTTAGTTTTATTAAATAAATAATATTTATAGATGTGCTATTATATTAATAATAACAATTATTATAATTTGTTAAAATCAATACATGTATATATATACAGGTATATACAGGTATATCACTGTATAGTGCAAATTGCGTAAAAACAAATACCTCTGTTTGGAAATTAATTGGTTTTAATAATTAATTAAAATGAAATAATTAGCCATTTTGTTGAATAACAAATTAATTATATATATATTTATTTAAAAAAATGAAATTATTATTAAAAATTATAATATGCAATATTATTTTATATAATTAATATTTATTTATTTTCAAAAAAAAACAATTATTTATATGTATTTTTATTACTATATTGTATTAGTTGTTATAATTAGAAATTCAAAAATTTTATTTAAAAAAAACATTATATTTTTATATATAACTATTTATCAATCATTTAAAACACGGTAGATATGATTTACAGTCATGGGTCGGTGCTTTGGGCTTTAGTTTCTTACAGTTGGCCTCATTGGCGGTAAATCCCGATTTGGCCGCTATATCTAACTTTGCATCCAATGCTTGTTTACTCTCTACCTTAACATCTTTGCATTTTTTAGCCTAAAAAATCAAATTAAATATACTGTATATTAATATATATATATATATATATATATAAATTAGATATTAAAAATTTATGATGTTTTTTTATACATACCTACCTACTAATATGTACATAAAAAAATTTATACTAGATTATTATATTAAAAAGATATCCTTATATTTATCATATATGTATATATATATATGCTTATTTTGTATATTAAGTATTATTGTATTATTTGTATTATAAAAAAATTATAAATTAATTAAATTAAAAAAATATATACCAATTTTTTATGAGCACAGTTAGTCTCCAATGCTGAACAAACCATTAATTTGCCGTAAATGCTAGTATCGCCACCATTGGCCACTAATTGGGCAATTTTATCGAGATTGTATGTTTCCCAGCGATTGGCCAGACAACCCTTTAGATCGGTTTCTAGTTTTTCACAATCATCGTTAGCCAGTGCCGTATCTATCAGGACTAACATACATACTGTTGATGCCAACACCATCACCACCGATGATGACAAGTAGTTGTTATACATTATGTTTTTTGTTTGTTTGTTTGAACAACTATTGTTTAATTTGACTGTTCAATGATTCAAAGATAACTATCAATAACTAACTAACTGTTTGCTGTAAGTAGTCGACTGACTGCTACCTATTAATATATTATATAATATATTAATTTTTAGTTAAAGTTGGGGCAACTTCCCCAACAAATGAAAGTAATTTCCCATTAAATAAATCTCATTTTTAATTTTTCCCGTAAAATAGTAGGGAATTTATATATATATACTGTATATATATATATATATATATTATTTTACTTCCATTTATCATAGTTATAAATATAGAAAATATATTTAATTAATAAACTGATAATTACATGTATATTATAATAATTTTTTTTAAATGTTAGACATTTTTCTAATTAAAAAAATATTTTTTAAAAAATATTTATTTCATAGATATAATATATTATACATACAATAAAATAAACAAAAAATAAAGTATTTCTTATATTACTAATATTATTAGTCTATTATTTGTTTTGAATAACAATTAGGTTAATAGAAAACAATGACAGTATGATTATTAGTATTATGAAATGGGGAGTCTGGGTCGGGCACCGGTAGCTCTAATGCATTGTGCAAATTGCAAACGTAAATATTTTCCGATTTCAATGGCCCGACAGTTGGGGCCCACATTAGCTCCCAGTGAACAAAACAAAAATAATTAAATAAAATTTTAATAAAATATATTTATTTTTTTGAAAAAATTATAATATTCTGAAAAAATTTTTTTTGATAGATTTAATATTTAATTTTATACACACAGTAAATGTTTTTTATTTAAAAATTTTAACAAAACATACATTAATAATAATTTAAACAATATTAATAATATACAGATTAATGAATATATTGATATATATGTTCAATATATATGACTATTTACTGTAAACTAAGACACGGTAGATATTGTTGTTTTACAATAGTTTTACTACATATACCAACCGGTCCGCTGGGGTTTAGTTTCTTACAGTTGGCCTCATTGGCAATAAATCCCGATTTGGCCGCTATTTCTAACTCGATATCCATTTCTTGTTTACTCTCTATCCGAACATCTTTGCATTTTTTAGCCTTTAATTAAAAAAAAATTAATGTAAATTATTATTATTATTATTATTGTTTTACTATAAATTAGACTAATATATAATCTTATTATTATTATTATTATATTCAATATACACTATAGATATTAAAAATATTTTTTTTATCTAGAATAGTGTTTAAACAATTAAACTATAATTTTTCATATAAATTACTGGTGTATATATATTTGCTTATTGTTGTATAGATATTATAATAACTAAATATATATAAACTTTTGTTAATAGTTATTTTTTTAAAAAAATTAATGTAATATAATATTTATTTATTTTTGTTGTTGTATAGTTTAAGTGAATCTTTATTGAAATGTTGTCCACTAAAAAAAAACTATAATAAAATTCATTCAATTATTATATTACTGTATAATGTAATTTGTATACAACAAAAATTAATTAAATAAATTTATAATGATAATTAAAATCAAATCAAAACTAAAAAAAAAACATTTACCAATTTTTTGTTAGCACAGTGAGTCTCCAACGATGAACATACCATTATTTTCGGGTATAAATTACTATCAGACGATCCATTGGCCACTATTGCGGCAATTTTATCGGCACTGTATATATCCCAGCGCTTGACTAGACAACCCTTTAGATCGGTTTCTAGTCTACCACAATCATCGGCTGCCAGTGCCATATCTAACTGGACTAACAGACATATGGTTGATGCCAACAACAACACCACTACCACCGATGAGGACAAATAGTAGTAGTAGTTGTTGTTATACATTTGTTTTGATGGATGGGTAGCTAACTGTTCAATGATACTTATAATGATAATAAAGATAAATGATAACTGTTTTTATGGTTAATACTACTGTATTATTACTACTACTGTAATAATATTGGAAACTTACTTATTGGAAAGTGAGAGAAGTTCCCATATAAATTTCCCATTTTAATTTTCACGTAAAATAAAGATTTTCTTTTTTAAAAAATTTTTTAACATAGAGTTCAATAGGAAATCACATGGAAATAGATTTCCTAGAGAGGGGTGGGGGCGGGAATTCCCAGAGAGCAGGTAATATATATATATAGCTTTTGGAAAATAAAATAAAAGATGAAATTTGAGCGAACCCTACTTATACAGTCAACACACATACATACATACAATACTGTATATAATTATTTGTGTTTAATTAATAAAATGATAATTTAATTTTACATGTATATTAAATCAAATTAAAAATGTGTTTTTAGACATTTTTTCTAATTAAAATATTTTATTTACAATAAAAATTTATTAATTTCATAGATTTAATATACATGACAATAAAATATAAAAATAACATAACTACACACAACAACAACAATTAGCAACAATCTCAAAATTAGTAAAAATTATTCATACTAAAAATAAAATAAACTAATATAAATAATTTGGATACTATTTTGTAAGAAAATTAATTAAAAAATTAAAATTTCAAATTAATTAATGTATGCAATTTAAAGTAGTGTTGCAATTTTTTTCACTTTTTAAACAACTTTTATATTATATGATTTTTAAATATTTAAATATATATATATATATATTTATAAATATTTTATTTTTTTTGTATGACTAATTGATTATCAGTATCACATTTAATGCCTATAATAATGTTTTATATTTAGATTTATAAAAAAAATTTTTAGATTATGAAAAAACAGTATATATATATATATATATCTAAAAATATATTATTAATTAGTTGATTAGTTGATTAGTAATTTATTATTTATAGTTAATATATTTTTATAAATAGTGGAAACAAATATGATATTATGTTTTAGATTCTAGGTGTAAATATATATTAATATATAAAAAATTATGAATTAATTGATAATAGATATTTAATTAAATATTTTGTGTTTTTAATAAATATAATTTAATATTTTAACTTAAAACTGTAAAAATAGAATATAAAGCACTAAATATAAAAAAAAATTCTAATGATATAAAAATTAGCAAAAAAATATTAGACAAAATAATTGTGTTAAACATATATTGAATGCAATCAATGAGTAAAAATTATTTTATTCCGTTTTATTAGTTATTAAGTTAGAATTAATTATAATTTTACTAATCATAAACTAACTAAAATACTAATAAACATTTTAATTATACAATAAATATTTACATTTTATAAATTATAATTACCGGTATATTAAAAATAATATATAAACCAAAATCAATATAAAGTTCAATAATATTTAAATATTAATAATTGAGATAAAAAATAACTATTTTTTGAGAATAATTAGCATAAAAAACAAATAGTATTTTATTTTTATTAGTATTTAATAATTTGAATTAATTAAAAAAAATTGAAACAAAAGTTTTTTTTAATATTTATATATTATCTTAATATTCATTATTGAATTATTATTAAAGAAATTAATGTATTTTATATTTTTTTAAAGTTAGTATATATAACAACAAATAATATTCATAATAGTATCAGATTTATATATATATAATTAAATAATTATAATAATATTTAGTTATTTTATTAAATATTAAATATTTTGTGTCTATAGTTGTCTAACTAAATGATAATAATCTTTACAATTACAGCACCGATTGCAATGACAGTCAATATTATTAGGATATACAGTCCGGGTCGGGAACCGGCAGATCTAATGCATTGTTCAAATTGCAGACACCGTTCATCGGTCATTGATTTCGGTTTAAATACCCGACAGTTGGTCTCATTGGCGGTAAAACCATTGATTTTTCAGTCACTACATTATAACATTTTTAATTATAATAATAAGTTATTTATATTTTTATATATATACCAATATATACTATCAAACTATTATCAATAGAGTTATATTAATTTTTTTAAATAATTAATTACTAATTTATTATCTATAACTAATATATATATTTTACATAAATAGAGGAAATAAATATGATATTCTTTGGATGATCTTGGTAAATGTTTAGAAAAATTGTTATTGTTTTTTTTTAAAAAAAACTAAATAAATTACACTATTACAAACCATATCATGTTAATCATTATTTTTCAATTTCATTATAAGTATATATCATCCGATCATAATTATCGATAAATAGCAAACAATTACATTAGATTATGCAAAAAAATAGTTATAAAATACAATAATATTAATTACTAAAAAAATACTTAATAACATGTGATAAACATTTAGAGTTTATTTATATATTTAATAATTACATTATTGATAAAAAATCTTTTAAAGTTTTTAACAATTTTAGAAATTCCGAATAAAATATTCTGTGTCTATAGTTGTCTAAACTAAATGATAATAATCTTTACAATTACAGCACCGATTGCAATGACAGTCAAAATTATTAGGATATACAGTACGGGTCGGGAACCGACAGATCTAATACATTGTTCAAATTGCAGACACTGTTCATCGGTCAGTATTTTTGGCTTCAATGGCCGACAGTTGGCCTCATTGGCGGTAAAACCATTGATTTTTGATTGTTCATCAAAAAATTCTTTAGATCTGATAGCTTTCGGACAGTCTTTGATCTAAAAACAACAAAAAAAATTATTATTTAAAAAAAATGTTTACTAAAAGTTACATAAATTGATTAAATTATTGATAAAAACTAATATATATATAATTTTTTTCAAAAAAAAAAAACTATTAGAATAGGATAACAGAAAATTAATAATCATATAATAAAAACCAATGCTTTGTGGGCACAGATCCCGAACTCATATGTCCTACAGTTTGTGGCTTTAATTTGATTGATATCACTGTAGGACCACCTGTACCTCAAACAGTTGTTTAAGAGACTGATAGCATCGCGACAGTTGACTCTCATGTTTGCCGATCGTCGTCGGACTAACTGATGGTATCGGTGTTGTTGTTGTTGTTGTTGTTGGAGATGTCTCTCATGGGTTGTTTCCGACGCCGTCTTCGCCGTAAAGATCACTGACCACACCATACAAACACTGGACAACATAAACAACAATAAAACCATCGATGGATGCATTGTTTGTGTAGAAAATCGATAATTAATTGATGACTTTTATTATGATTTTTATGAATATATTCAGAAACTTTTAAAAAATACTTATTTAAAATTTTTATTGTATAACTAATTTTGTTTTTTTAGTTTATATACATTTCAATATAAATACTTTGAAACAATAATAAAGTTTTTTCGATTTATTTGTTTTACTAATTGTTAAAAAATTTTGTTATGATATTTATTATAAACAATATATCTTTAAAAAAATATATAATTATTAATTACTAATTTATTAGTCATCAGCAAATATATCATATATATATATATTGTAATATTTATAACAATAGGAAACAAATATGATATGTTTTGAAGCTATTTGAAATGTTAATGTATACAAAAATTGTTATTGTTTTAATTTTTTTTAAACATATTGACAACTTTTTTATTAATATATTCTTAAACTTTAAACAATACTTTTTTATAGAAATATTTATTTTAAATTTTTATTATATGACTAATTTTATTTTTTTTTGAGTTTATATAATGTATAGTAAATATATACTGTATATATTTATATTCACAAACAAACTTTGAAACTTTATTATTAATTACTAATTTTTATTAGTTTGATATTTAATTGTTTTATTAATTGTGAAAAACATTATGTTTTGATATTTATTATAAACATCAATATCTAAAAAAAACATAATAATTGATTACTAATTTATTATTCAGCAGCAAATATACGGTGGACAACATAATCGACAATAACAGCAAATTTTTTGCAAATATTTTTTACCGACATTTTTTTATTATATGAATTTGTTTAGTCCTATATCAATATATTCACAACAGTATTTAAAATTTAATTAAATAATGTTAATTTTTAATACAGTAAGTTATGGTATATCTACAGTATATATACCAGTGATTAATTTTATATATATAGGAATTTTTTAGTTATTATTATAATTTATAAAAAAAAGTACCATGATAGTAAGTAAATCACACATATAGACTAGTACAAATATACTATATACTATCACACTATTATCAATAATTTTTATAAATAATACAATAATATGTATAATATGTAGATATATATATATATATATAATTAAATTAATTAAAAACAAAAATTAATACATTTAAACAAAAATTGTTTTTTATGTTTATGTTGTGTGTGTGTGTGTGTGTGTTTCAAACCATAATAAGCGATGCTATTATTTTCACAACAATAATGATTACTACAAATACAATTTGTGATGGGGGTAGTCGGGCACTGCTATCACAAAATTGTAGCCCATTTTTTATATCCTGTTCCCTGTCGTAGTAGTAGTCGTCCACATAATCAGTTATCTTTATCTCTGCCGCCGACGCCGACACTGTAGATACTGATGACCATATCATACAAACGGTGGGCAACATAATCAACAATAACACCATCGATGGATACATTTTTTACCGGCAGCAATAATAACAATAATTGTTCAATTAATTGTTTTATATATATAATAATAATAATTTATATAAAAATAATTTTAAAAAAGTTTTAATTTGATTTTTTTAATAGACTAACTATTTAATGATAATATTTAGAAATCAAGTAATTTATTAATTATAAACTTATATTTACTCTATATATATATATATATATATACTGTAATATATACAGTATATATACCGGAATTAAATATGATAGATGTTTTGATAATGAATATATATGTTTTTAAAAATTTATTTTTTAACTCTCTCATATAACTTATATATATATATATAGTTACATTTAGTTACAATTTACAATATCAATTATATTGAATTATTATTATTATTATTATTATTAAATTATATCTATAAATAGTATAGTATTAAATTTATTAGCTTACATATATACCATAGTTATTTTAAATCAAATTATTTAAATATACAGTATTATGAGAATAATACTTATTATTAAATAAACTATACCAGGATGAATTTTGTTTTTTTTTAAAAATAAATATTAATATATCAGTGTACAATTTATTTTTAGTATTTTTTTAATATCAAAATTATATAATGTATTTACTTAATTATTAACAATTATTTTTGTAGAATTTCTAAATTATAAGATTACAAAATTTTAATTATTATTTTATTATAATAATAAAATAAATATTATATTCAAATATTATTTATAAACGTTATTTATGAACGTTAATACTATTATTTTATTTGAAACTAATTTATTACATCATACAAACATTTTTATAAAAAATATTTATTTTTACAGTTTATTTGTTTTGTAAATTTTAAATATTGAAAATATTTTTTTTGTGGTTATATATACAGGTTTTTATACTAAAAACTAAGTTAATCATACATTGACTTATGTATTATGATATAATTTTTATGTTAATAAAAATTGTGTCCAAAAAAATAGTTTATTAGTTTAAAATCTAAAGTTATTTTAATAGCAGTTTAATTATCGGTTCGGGTATTACACACATACACACACACACATATATATATATAGACAGATAGATACCACTAGATATGTGTTCCCAAAAACAAACCGATGACCATAGTATTCATTCGGCACATATAGTCGACATTCATGACGTGCCCATCGCTTGTATCCTAAGACCCATTCCTCCGGTTCTCGACGATAGCAAAGTCGACAGTCTTATGGAAACATTAGCGGTAAGTGTTATATATGTATATATACCGTATAAATATATATGTATGTACTGTATGTGTGTGTGTGTGTGTGTGTGTGTGGGTTAAGAAAACAGTTACCTATCGCACTGGTATTAATTTTTTTTTTTTAAATTAATTTCCTGTCAGAGATCTACCGAAACTGTACCGCCAATAGACGTCCTGTGGATTGTTGGCCGCGAAGGCGGTAACTATTACTACTCGTTTGGCGGTTGTCATCGATTCGAGGCCCACAAGAGACTCGGTATGGCATACATACGGTGCAAACTGATCCGATCGACCATTTCGGACCTCAGATGCTATTTGGGTGCATCGACACCTGATCTCAAGTGATATTTAACAAAAAAAATGTTATTTTTTAATTAAAACAATTTTCATTTAATAAGTATTTAAATAATTTTAAAATATAAATAAATAATATTAACATATAAGTGGTAAAACTACATTATTTTTTGTATTATTATGTTAGAAAAATTTATATTAATTAATTTTTTATTATTTTAATTTAATTTATTATAAATGTTTTTTTTTTTTAATTTTTTAACTACTGGTAAATATAGGGTTAATAAAATATAATTAAATTATAAATTTTATAAAGTTACAAAAAAAAATTACATGTTTAATAATTGGATATTTATAAGAAATTTTATGATAATTTTAATATAATTATAAATATATTATAATATTTATTGATAATATGTAATGAAATCTATTTTTTTATTTTTTAAATATACCAGTGATAATGAATTAATAAAATTATAATATAAATTGTAACCAATAGTTTTAAAAACTAATTGTATTTTTTTAATACTGTATATTATAATTGTAATCATTATTTTCAGTATAAAAATAATAATCTATTTTTTCTATTTTATATCATTTTTTTGTATTACAATCGTTTATCTATACTACTATATAATTTGGAAATGTTTATATATTTATATCTTGGTCACACTTTTGCGCGTTACAACAATTAAAAATGATTAAAATTAAAATAACGGTTAAATAAAAAGTATTGTTAATTAAACAGTTAGTTTTTTAATTTTATTATTGTTGCACGTGTAAAGAAAAAAAAACATTTAAATTATATTATTGAACGCGAAATTTAAATAATTTTTTTGATTTCAAATTTTTGTTTCTTTACACGTTCTATACATGTTGCTCGGGACAAACTAGTATAATAATAAATTAATTTAATAATATAATAATATTGCACGTAATATATAAATTTATATATAATTTTAATTTTATATTAATTTCAGTTATATTATTGTTTAATTTGGATAATTAAACGGTTAAATTGAATTAAATTATTTTGTTAAAAAATGTTATCAATTATGTGTTTCCTATTTGTTATATTTGTTTATGGATCGGATGAATCAATCTTTGGCCGGTTGACTACAATACATAAACCATCGATGATCTCGGAAAACGTGTCGACATTGATGTCGACCGAGTCGTCGTCGTCATCATCATCACCGATGACCACAAATGGACAGTCAAATAGATATACTAATTGGACAGCGATTATCATAAGTATAATAACAACTCATTTCAGATAATAATCATTAATAATAATAAATTGTTTGTTTTGTTAATCACTAATCAGTAATCATTTTAATCGGTCTAATAATTGCTGTATTATTAGTTATATTATATCTATTGTATGAATGGTATCAAAACCGATATAATAGACTTCATGTAATCCGATATCTAAAATATTCAAATGCTTGCGAAAAATTTGACAAAAATATCATCGATGCCTACAATATGTTAAAAGATAAGGTGTATATATGAGTATCAAAAAAAATGTTTCATAAATTTTATTTAATTATTTCATATATTTTAGTCAAACATTAAACAATTTGAAGAAAATGTAGGAATTATTATTAGAAAGGATAACAAATTTTATCAAACATTTAATGTAAAAATACATCAAAAGAGACAAACATTTAGTAAATGGATTAGTGATCAACAAAATGATGAAAAAATTGTTAAACAAAATCTTCATTATATTTTCGGTATAATTATAATAATAATAATAATTATTTATTTTATTTTTAAATATTATTATTGTATTTTCAAAGCTGTTTTCGATCTCAAAGTTGGTCAAGAATTTTATGGTATTTTAACAATATATTGGAAAAGTTATAAACGATTAGTGATTAATAATAATAAAAATGATGTCATCCATAGTGAAACAGATTCAGACTTTTATTTTAAAATATATATATAAATAAATGTATTATAAATACCGTGTAATATAATAATCAATTATTATTATCAATATTAGTATTTTTTATCATATTTTTGTAATGAAAATACAGTATTTTTTGTTGTTGTTGTTGTAAAAAACTGATATTAATATTATAATACTGTAAAAGCCATTACCGGTAATTGAAAAATAAATTTTAAAAAAATCTAAATAAAATTTTGACTAAAATATTTTACTTATTATACCTAAAAATTAAATATTATGATTAAAGTTATTGCAATCTCTAACACATCGCAACATACATTGATTTTATTCAATAACTTATAACTATATGTAATAATAATAATAATAATAATAATAATCACAATTCATTAAACTTTATATAATTTTATTTTTTTAATTAACTATTTTTTCGGTCCAATCATATTCTCCGGTCGTACCCATTGGTCAAACTGATCGGCAGTTAGATAACCCAACTGAATGGCCGACTCTTTCAATGTTAGTCCCTCTTTGTGTGCTTTTTTGGCAATTTTCGCGGCCTTATCGTAGCCTATATGCGGATTGAGTGCCGTAACCAACATCAGCGACTCTTCCATCAGTTGTTTAATACGGCGTTCGTTGGCCACAATATCTGCGACACAATTGTCGGTAAACGATACGGAAGCGTCGGCCAGCAATCGTATTGATCGTAAAACATTGGCCACAATTAGCGGTTTGAATACATTGAGTTCGAAGTGTCCCTGAGTGGCACCGATAGTTACGGCCACATGATTGCCCTGGACTTGGGCGCAGACCATTGTCATAGCTTCGCATTGGGTGGGATTGACTTTACCCGGCATTATCGATGATCCCGGTTCCAGTTCGGGTAGTATTAGTTCGCCAATACCCGATCGCGGACCGCTGGCCAACAAACGTATATCGTTGGCAATCTTGTTCAGACTACAGGCCAGTACGTTCAGTGCACCGGACAGTTCAACGAGAGCGTCGTGAGCGGCCAGTGCCTCGAACTTGTTGGGCGCGGCCCGAAAGTTTAGCTTGGTTATCGAGGCCACCTCTTTGGCCACAGCACTGTCCCAGCCGACTGCCGTATTAAGTCCCGTACCGACAGCTGTGCCACCGATAGCCAAATAGTAGACCCGTGGCTCCATTGCCGACCGTATCCGATCGATACCGAACTGGATTTGTGTGGCGTAACCGGAAAACTCTTGACCCAATGTCAGTGGTGTGGCGTCCTGTAGATGTGTTCGGCCATTCTTGATAATGGCCGCAAACTGTTTCTCTTTGGCGCGCAAAGCGGCCAACAGTTTCTCCAATGCCGGCAACAGCGATGCGTTGGTCTCGACTGCGGCCGCAATATGCATAGCCGTCGGATACGTATCGTTACTTGACTGCGATTTGTTTACGTGATCGTTAGGATGAACCGATTTGTCGCCCCGTTTGCCGCCTAAACACAACACACAAAAAACAGATCAGTAATGTTGAGGACAGGTATGACATGTATGTACGATAAGTATAGACAGTTAAAACAATGGACACACAATACTGACCTAATATCTCGGCCGCCCGATTGGCAATAACTTCGTTACAATTCATATTTGTTTGGGTACCCGAACCGGTCTGCCAGATGACCAGCGGAAACTCACGGCAAACTTCTAGTCGATCGCCAATAACTTCATCGCATGCCTGTTCAATAGCTGCGGCCAAACGTTCGTCCAGTGCACCCGACTGACGATTGACACGGGCGCAGGCCTTCTTCAGTACAGCCATTGCCGTTACAATCGGTTTGGGCATCTGTTCACCGGTGAAATCCGAGTCGGCACCAATGCGAAAGTTATTGCGCGATCGTTGAGTCTGCGGGCCATACAAACGGTCGGCCGGTACCCGAACTTCGCCCATAGTGTCCGTTTCGATACGATAGTCAGCAGCAGCTGCCGCCGGTTTGGTGGTCGACATAGCTCTAGTGGTTGTCGCCGTTGTTGTTGTCGATGTTGTCTTCAACAGTTGGTTCAGTGCACGTACTGTATGTCTTCGGCAGTGTTGGTGATGCGGTTGTAGGGCTACTGCTGCTGATGACTGTGCGATACAGTAGTAAAGTGATCGATACATGATGTCTGTCTCCTGGGGTTTAAGTTTAGGTGTATTATTGAGGAGGGGGTAGTTGTTTTGCAAAAAGTAGGCCTTTCCTCTTTTACTATATCTCTCAGTAATATATCTCTAACCTTCACAAACTCCCTGTCCTTTAATTGGGATGATTATTAGCAGCCAATCAAACGGTTGATTAATTAATACTAATATTTATGAATAAAATAAATTAAAACTTTTATTTTTTTTTAATATGTCTATCACTTACACATACAAACACATACACTGTTTGAATGAATTTCAATGTCAACACAACAACAACAACTAAAAACTGTATATAAAAAAAATTATATTAAAATGAAAACACAATTTACTGTATTATCTATTGATAAGTATATATACAACTGTAGTATTAATACAGTAGTAGTAGTACTGTAGTAATAGTGACATATTTTTTTTAGAAAAAAGGGACCGTATATTCATTAAAAATATCTAAATTATTTTTAGTATTAGTTGCTAATAATAAGTTAAGCAAATAATTAATATTATTATTATTATTAATAATAATTTAAATTTTATTAATTAATTAATTAATATTAGTATAATTATTTTGTTAGGGAAAAAATTGTATTATTAATAAATTTGTAATAATTAGTAATTTATTTAATTTATTTAGTTTTTTGTTGTTTGTTGTCGTTATCTTTAATACTGTATTTTATTTTTGAAGACAATTAACATTTATTTTTTTTTAATTATGTTTAGTTGTATAGTTAGTGATAATTAATACAGTAATAATTTTTTTTTGTAATTTATTTTTGTTTTCTTAATTAGATTACTAACTAATTAACTTAAATTAGTTAATTAATAATTATCTATTCAATTGTTTTTGATTTTATATTAATAGCAATTTATAATTGGATTTATTGTTTGTTTGCTATAAAAATTAAATTATAATTTACAAATTAATTCCCAATTACTTGATTTAATATATATATACAACTAAATTAACAATTTTTTTATAAAAAAATATAGTATTTATTTATAATATACTAATTGACTTAATAAAGTCATTCAATAATATTTTAAATAATCATTTATACTGTATATAAATGCTGTATATTATTAGATAATTATTTTTTTACATTATCTTAACAAACATATAAAGTGTAATACATTTAGTTTTTTTTGGTAATATTAAGTAACTTATATGTGATATAAAATAGATTACTAAATGTAAACAATTATTATAATAAACGATTAAGTAATTAAATATTTAATTTTATAAAATTGCTAAATAATACTAAAATTAAACTCAAGAAAAATTGCAATAATTATGAAAATAAATATTGAATATAAAATTTAATTAAATTTATTGAATGTTACAAAAACAATAACAAAATATTAAGTAAATTTTTTAAATTTAGTTTTTTAAAAAATTGTATTGAAATTATATTAAGTAATATCCATAAATTAATACATATAAAACTAATTGATTATATTTATAGTTATTACTAAATAAATTTTTAGTACTCAATGTTTATCAAATTCAAATACACAAAAATAATTTTTAGTTAATAATTTATGCAAACAGTTTACTATAATTTATATTTTTATTTTTATATATCATATGTAAGCCAAATATTGATTTTACACTAATTTAAATTTTAAATTAAAAAATAATACTTTCATTTGAAATAAAAATTTGCTTAAATATGTTATAAATATTTAATTTAAAAATAATATGTTTGTTTATATGGGTGTATATAAATTATATTTATTATTTATGTATAGTTTAAATACAGTAAAATATTTATATATATAAAAAAAGTATTATATTGTATAAAAATTTTAAGCATCATTAAAAATTTAATAAACAAAACATTAATAGTTAAACAAAATTTTAAATTTACAATAATTTAGTTTATTTATTTATATTTATTTGTTCAAGATAAATTTGATTTATATTAAACGTTCAATTATTTTTGCAACAAAAAAAATTTTGAAAAAATAAATTTCAATTTATTTGTTTTTAGTTAAAAAGTTGATTCGTTAATAATTATATAATTTTTATATATTGATTAAATTTCAATATTATAATAATAAAAACTATTATTAATTTAACATTAGATTATTTATTTGAATAAATTATTATATAAAAAAAATGTTAAGAAATAAAACTGTTACAAAAATATTTTGCATACATTGATGTAAAAGTATAAACTATTTTTTAAAAACAAACACATTTTGCCAGATATTGATTGCCATTAAAACATTGGAGACATTATATAAGATTTACTTATAAAGGATTTATGTCTACTTAAAAGCCAGTGATATATAAATTTCAAGAAATATTTATATATATATATATATATTTCAAAACAAATAAATATAATTTAATGGCAAAATAGAGGATAAAAATGCAATATACTGTATGTTTTTGTTTTTATTTTGTGAAAGTTATATTTTAGTATTATAATGTATATAAATTTCTATATCAATATATACATATATATACTGTATTTTTACTATTTCTAAACAAATACAACGATGGCATGCATTAAATTTGTATTTAAATGACTGATTACTATTAGGAGATACACTGTACACATTAGTATATATACACAATATTATATATATATATATATATATATATATTAAAATAAAATAGTTTTTAGAGACAAACACTTATGTATTAAATATATTATTATACAAAATGGGATTTTTTTACGGAAGATAGCTTTGAATGACAATCATTATTGTGTAGTAGTAATAGTCATTGTAGTAGTAGTAGTAATACTCATAGTCTTTATTGTTGTTGTTATTGTTGTTGTTATTGTTGTTGTGTTCATGTGTTTTGAATGCATGAATAAAATTACAGAATATTCCGAGATTTTTTTTCTTGATGTATATTCATATATATTATATCACATTATAATACAAAACAATATATCTTACAATACAATACAATGTCATTACGTATGGCGACTACTAAAAACATATATTATACTAATATATATATATATATAAACTGTATAATATATATATAACCGGAAAACAGTATAATATATTGTGCTTTTAGGCCAATTACTAGATATAAATATAATACATTTATTTATTTTTTTATTTTTTAAAATAATATTTTATTTAAAATAAATTTTCTATATAGAAATTTAATTAATTTTATATTATACTAATTATAATAGATTATAGAATATATTGTTAAATTTGCATAAATATTGTTATAATTATTTATTTATTTATTTTTATTTATTAAGTTTACTTTTAAATTATAATATATATTATATAAAATTATAAATACCAATATTGTCCAGATCTAACAAGTTTAACAGCAATAAAATAAATTTTGTTTGTATTTAAGATTTTCTGTAATAGATATTATTGAAAATAAATTTAGTAGAAAATCTATTTTTAGTAAATATTAGAAATATTAGAAATTTCAATTGAAATTATAATTTTTCAAATGTAAATAATTTTTGCGAACATTTTATTTTTTTAAAGAAATTTTATATAAAATACAGTTGATATCATATTTCAGTTTATTTTATTTTATTTAATATAAAAAAAAATCAAATTGCTATTAGCTATAATTTATACAAAAATCCAATATTGTATTGGATACCAAATAAACTATAATAATAATAATAAAATACTATATATGTATTTAACTTTTTTAAATAAATAAATAAATTTGAAATTCATATTGTTTTTTGACAAAAAAATTATATTCCAATAAAAGTTTAAATACGATTATAGTTATGATATTAAACTATAAAATTAATTTTATTAAAAACATTTAAACTGTACTGTAAGTCAAAATTCCCAGAATATTCTGCATTAAGTTATAAATAGTATGCATAATATGTATACTCAATAATACTGTACTATTTAGTAAGCGATGTATGAAATTTATTTAAGCTTATTTTAATTAATTCATAAATTATTTATCTAAAAAAAACTATAAGTAAAACATAAAGTATATTATATTTATACCAAATATATATATATATATATATATATATATATATATATATATTGAAAGTTGAAAGAGAAATAAAGAGATTTAATGGGTATTATAAGTTAAGAATCAGTACACATAAACCTAACGATAAGATTCCGGGAATATTTGTTATTTAGTATATATTTATACTGTATATAAAAGCAATAAATTCTGTTATTATTAAGCCATGAAATTAGTTAACAACTATGAAACAACATTTTTGAATAAATAATAATACTTTAAATATATTAATATATACAGTATATACAGTATATACAGTATATATAAGTATTATAAATATAAGATTTTTAGTTGTTTTTTATTTGTTATATAATATTTTTAATCAGAAACTATTTTTAAAGCATTATAATGTATTAGATATACATAAAAAAATTTTAATCTTGATTTATATGTATATGTTTTGTAAACAAAAAAACTAAATAAAATTATCTGCAAACAGGATAATGTAATTATAATTTTTGTTGTTGTCTATTTTATCTAAAAATATTTATCATAATAATACTAATACTAATATATGTAATATAATGTTTTTGTAATGAATTTATTTAATAAAATTTTCTGTATTTTTTTTTAATAAACAAACAGCTCTTTAATGCAATAATTTTCTTAAATGAACTGACAATTAGTTTAGTTAAATATTTGAACCTAACTTTCCTCCTCTCACTTACTTAATTAAGACAAACATTTTGCATATACTAACTGTATATATATATATTGTATATACCTGAGTGATAATAAGGATCTGATTTTTATTTTTCAAAAAAAAAATAATAACTCAAATTGTAGGAAAAAAATTTTATTTAATACAATTTTATTTTATTTTCTAGAAAAATAAATTGAATCTATTATTACTTTATATATACAGTATATATATATATTTAACTTTTTCTTAAATAAAATTATTTAAAACGACTATTTGGTTAAGCATTTAGTTTCTTGTGTGTGGATGAGTGACTGAAATGTATAGAAAAATGATAACAACTTTTTTTGATGCTTATTGTAGACACAATTGACTTTAAATTGTATGTCTGTGTCTACTATTGTATGTGTATGTATTAGTCAGTGTGTGTGTGTGTGTAAAGGATGAGCTGAAAAACTACAATTTGCATTCAATATTATTGTGTGTGAATGTGAAAGAGAGAAAGTCATACCAATATATATATATATATATATTATAGGAATGATTGAGTGGATAGGGATCAACAAATAAGATATGGAAAAAAAGATATGGCACTGTATGACTGTATTATAGAGCACTGGTAGTCTTGTAATAGAGCCGGGCATTAATGAAAAGAGGG